CTGCAGTCTGCGAATCTCTTTCAATGAGTATAGTCAGGCTCAATTTGGTGTTGGGTTTAGACGAAGTTCAATTCAACTCTGTACACTTCACTTTGGAACCGCTGATTGACGATTTTACGAATAATACCGGCATATTTCACTCACTTAGTTGGGTAGTGGAATGAAATAGTTGCCCTAAGCCTCTATATAGGGTCACATGTTCCCGTGGTGAGATGTATGGAGCTTTTAAACATAGTTCAGTTTTCCGTCATCATTTATTGTCTGCATGTGTCCACGTCAGCATAATGTTATAATTGATCAAGGCGGTGCCTTGTCGAGGATAGTTGCGTACTGCTAATAACGGCCAGGATATGGTTAAATTGTCATTCATATAACAAAATATCTTATTTGGAACAAGCTTGTCGAATTCCCGCAAATAGTGCAGATATAATGGAACGGTCCACTATCAGATGCGCATTCTTGTGTTTACCGTATCAAATAGCAACAGTTTACTCGAATAGATCTTGTCTCACAAGTGAGTAGTATCTCATAACACTCCTCCCTCAGCCAAAATGAACTCTCCATGCAGCGAACAATAACGTCTACCTTCTTGGAATTTGATCGGGTCCGTATTTGGTTGAGATTTGCTTGTGGCTTCATGATTGAATTTTAGAGACCCGACCAGTAGGTTGATTTCTGACAACTTTTTGGCGTACGGTTATGCTCCATCTATCGTGTTCACTTCGATACACACTTTTGTCGTCACTTATCTTTTGAAACATTCTTTTAAGTCTTCCTCATCTGTGTTCTACCTGAACTCTGCCGTCTACAGAGTAACTTCGCTGATCCGGGGTCACCGACACGACCTTCAACATGGTGCTTGCACTCCAGTTTGCTCCAACACGTCTTATTCATTTTTGGTCGTTGAAGGAAACCGCTGATCGCATTCTCTTGCGTGCTACTCACAAGTGAGTAGCTTACAACACTAGTATTAGTAAAACTCAAAACAAACTGTGACGGGTCACAGCTGTAATAAGCTGGTCTTTTTATATGTACTTTTTGGTGGATTTTCCATAGTGAACATCACATACTAACCACCCTGTGTTCATATGTCTAGCCTGAGAAGTGTCCGTTGACGGTAACCTTTATCCACATTAAGTTGAGTGTAAATTTTCAAAGATACTAATTTTCTTCAGATTTTGTGTGTGTGTGTGTGTGTGTGTGTAATCGGTTTGGTCCTAGGAGAGCGATAGGGGCTCATTTCATTGCTCCAGTTTGTCTGTCTGTCGTTCAATCGGGTTAAAGTACACAAAGCTCACATTATGGTTTACGCTATCAACAAATGTAATCACAAAACAACACGATAATTGTTGCAATCAGAACGTCAATATTTAATCTGAATTGCATGATCTGACATGCATAAAACCAAGCTTGAAACTGTGGTACTGCATTGTTACTGACCCAGGGATAATAAAGCTAAAGCAAACACTATCCCATCATCCTAAAAAGGAATCTATATTTCACAGACGAAAATCACATATCGATCGGACAATGCAGTGAAGATTAACATTGTCAGCTAATCATGTGCTCAAGCCTTTGTTCATATTTGTCCCTCTCCTGTCTATCCCCCTTTTTTGATTCCTACCGTTCGATTTGAATGCGCAACAGTGGGAAGGATGTTACTTTGAATGACTTTTATACACAATTGTTTTAATGTATTCCATCTTGATTTGATCGCGTTTTGTGCGTGTGGATCAGTTTGGCAATAACCGATTTGTACTGTTCACATAGTGGTGTGCATCTATCAGGTAAGCTCCATGTGTGGTAGTAGTGGTCGCTCAAGTGTATCGATCCCATGGTATTCGTAATGCGGCCGCATTCATCGCACTAAACATTCATCATTGAACTAGTTATGGGCTCACTTTTTTCACGGAGATAGCCGAATTGTATCAAGCTTCATACCCCATTTGATCTCTATGACTCAAGAATATAAGTCGTAAATCAACTGTGCCATCTCGGCAAACCGCGCATCAGGGGCGAGCTGAAGCAGGTTGACGGTTCCCGCAGTCTAAACAATCTCAGAAAGACTGCTTACTTGAGGCGGTTAAATGAGAGAAGTCTGTTCAACTAGTAGGGATATTATTAATCCTTGAGTTTGCTTTATCTCAATCAAATGACTAATGAGTATCTCCGGAGCCACCAAGAAATATGCGCTGGCACACGGATGTGTTGCATTCCAGGAGTACCCCTGATATATCTTGTTCCAAACTTCAGTGAGGATTCCCGTCCTCAACAATGTCCAATGAGTCAGATAAATTCAAAGGGGGAGGTAAATATTACTAGTGAAAACACTTCAAAATTTTCCCCTTGAAAAAATTACCCCATTGGTCACTCATGTTAATCCAGTTCCCACTTTTTTCTCTGGTTAGTGTTAATACCGTTCTCATGGTGGATGGAACATGATAGTTACACATAAAATCGGAAACTATAGTCACTGGATAGCTAATTATTTGCTTACATCATCCTCTTCTTTGTCTGAGTGAATGAAACCGTTTGTTTGAATCACTTTGATCTATTATGAAGTGATGAAAAGTCTCCCGACAGTATCAGATCAACGAATTGGCAGTGTTATCCGGATAAACTGAACATATGAATGAACACATCCTCCTCATCCAACCAGTAAAACAGTCTTGTTAACTACCGAACATAACACTCTCTCTCAACCGGGCAATGTACCACAAAAATAACTATTAGTTGTTTCCCTCAAACGGGTTTCATCTTGTACTAGCTTAGAATGTCCTAGATCTTATTTATACCCTGCACGCACAATATTGCCAATTATGTTGGAAGAGAGTAGGAATCGTTTTGCTATCAGATTGTAGTAAGGAATTCATTCCGATTGCATGACGAATTGCGTTTTGTGCAAAGCATTGAAACTGTCAGTTCCTTGAAAATTCGTAAACAGATTCACGGTGCTATTTCGTGTACGAACAAAATTAACCACTCTCATTAGTCAGTTCAGTTCAATTTGTACAACCATGAATCATGCACTTTCGTACCCCGGTTTCGATTGCTATCTTTTGGCTGCCCATTTGGATAAACATCAGGAGAAAGACAGGTAAATTGAAAGTAAATTCTGGTGGATAATGGAGAATTTCTGTGAACTCAGGTTGTAATGTAATTGAGAAGATTCACGAACACCACTGTTTACGACAACCAGCCATATCACTGTATCTCTAACCATTGATTACGTTGATCCCGATGTCCACATTAAGGGAGTCTAACGGAACCTATATGACCCGGTCCCCCTGGTTAGGGATTTCATACCCTCATACCAGGTTTTAGGTTGATCGACCTTGGCCTTTTTCCAACCAATACCTACCTTGGCGAACATCGTTCGCCGTGGCAACTTATTTGGTCACATGCGTAACACACCCCAAACAACGTAATCTATGGAAGTCGACTATTTGCTCCAGTGGGCGACCGCGATTACCTAAAACTCTGCACCTAACCTCAGTATTGCTCGTCCAGCTGTCTCACCAGAATCGTGCAATGTTGCGTGGACAGCGGTGTTGAAACACCAACAGCCTATGTTTGTCTTGTTTTTTTTAATGTCCAAGTTTCTGCGCCCTATAGCAGTGGTTAAATGGGCAACATACCGAAGTCCTATTTGTGGAGGTTCCGGGGTTCAATCTCCGATCGGATTGATAATGTTTACCAAAATAACAACAGCTGCACAATGTTTTGCAGTTTCCTTTATTCTGTGTGTGACGAAATCGATCGTCTAAGTGCCATTGTCTTGTCTCTCTAACACACAATACTTATTTCTGAGTTGTATGTTTAGATTCGGAACAGTGGACCACTCGGTACCGATAGAACTAACGCTACCACGATTTGTTTTTGGCACACAGTGAGGACCCAATTACGTGTGAGATATGATATATAATCCTCAGTTCTGGTTGTAATACTGTATTATTTCCATACGAGATAATGGTTATTGGTTAATCCTGTATGTAAGATGAAAGAAAAAGTATTTTTATTTCCTATGTTTTATCCGGAACCCCCCCCCCTTCGATTGAAGTCATTTCACCGTTTGAAGTCCATTTTTACGTTCGATCAACATGCATGCATGATCGGGCTTAATATCGATCTAGTCTGTTTCAGACAAGATGTAAGTGTGTTTTTCGTTTCCAATGTGGAACATGAAACCTCATGTAGATGTCTTGATTTACTTGATTATTAGTGACACTGCGAGTGACCCGCGTGAAAACTGTGCCAATTCAAAACATAACCATTTGAAAGACGATCGTTCAAGAAAATGAAACGTTCTGAATCATTTCGTGCTCGTTCTGTTCCAAGGTTCCCCATCACAGAGGGTATCGCAGGCTATGTGGCTCGTACCGGTGTGGGGGTTCGAATCGACGATGCCTACACAGATTCTCGATTCTATCGCACAGCGGATGAGATGAATAATCACGTGACCAAAACTGTACTCGCCATGCCTTTATTCGAGGAGGACGAGTGAGTGTCCCAGTTGACGAAATCACCTGCGTTTCGACTTTCGAGACGCAATAGGACATTCAGGATATTCAGGAAATGTTATGGATAGTAGATTCTCTCGGTGGTTAGTTGAGACGTTGTGGTGTAAAAGCGCGAAATCATTATTTGTATATTAAATATCTCACCATCGTTGTTTTTAATTATTTCGAGTGATCAATTTCGTTTTTGTAACTACTAATCATGCATCTTCATGCGAAGATTTCGGTTACTATCTTCAGGCACGCCCGTATATTTTGTTTAAAAAAATTCAATATCAGTATTGTGTTAGGTCAATAAAGACGAATATCATGGTGGATACCTTAAAAGAACCTGGGAGGTAGTGACGAGCAGCTCTTGATAGAGACACGTGAGAAAGGTTAAATTTGGGATGGGATAGAGAAAATGATGTACAATGTTGAAGTATGGTTTCAGGAAATAAATCTGGAAGTAGATTGCCACGCTGAGAGAAAGTTGTCTATTGGATAAACTAGCCACTGTACTATTTACACAATCCTGGGATTAATGTTCCCTGTTGCTGTGGTTTTGGTTGCGGTGAGAAACATATTACACAATCCTTTGATTCTATTCTCCGGTGTCACTAGGCCAGTGTTACAAACAGTCCATGTGTCAATTCGTTGTTGCGTGACTCTGCACTTAATAGTTTTCACCGTATTCTCTTACGACAGAAGGTCGAGCAGTGTTTCTATCGTTATGCAGGTTTTCCCCTTGTATGTTCAACACAATGGGCACTGTAAGTGCAAGAACAGAAAAACCGGGACGGATGAGGTCGTCTGACTGGTCACCGTCTGTTTCTGGTGCATTGAAACGCCTGATCTTTGCCCCGTTTCTTGCACATACACATTAGGAATTGTTTTCGCTACCCTGTCTCTTCAATTCATGACCGGCTATTCTTCAATGTATCATTGGTTATTTTGACACTTGTGTGGTTTCTGTTCTGTTCTGATCCAAAACAATCTGATGTGAGGAAGTGAACGTGGAAATCCGTTTCGGTCATCTTGGTATTCTCTTCCCAATCAAGCGCGTTTTAGTTACTTCTATTCAATCTACTTAGCTCAGCCAGATCTGCTCGTCTGTTTTCTAATCTGATTCTCTTATTCACGGTTGACCGATAAGTAACAACCGATATTGCAGCAACAGGGAAGGACAGAGAGAGCGCGCGTAGTTATTCATTGTTCAAACTGAAAAATGAAAGCGTTTGCTGTCAACGTTTTGAGCTACATAATACAATGCCTAATGTACGATTTTGGCAAAGTTTTGATATTGTTTTTTGGTTGAAAATAGCGCGGTGGATCAATTGTCTCTAGTCTTCTTCGACATTGTGGAGTGCGGCGGGAGGTGGGGATACAATGAACATTGAATGGATGTTCACTGTACATTTTCATCAATAATCCGTCGCATATCATTTAATTCAAAAAAGGTTTTTGAGGAAATGTGAAACATGTTTACCGCAGTCATCATCTTCATTACCAAAACGATGATTGAAATTTCCGAGTCCTCCTGTCTTAATTGTCATACTTGTCACTTACCACAGATTGCCTCTTTCGAATGCGCTATTTCTACATAAGGAATGGTGGATAGTGGGCTCACTAACAGCTGATTGAGATCACTTATAATCGATGGCCAATATCAATCNTTTTCAGAAATGTAAAAAGGGAAAAAGTTGACTGACAAATAACAAACAACATTCATATTAGACAGATGTGAGATTGGTTGGTATAAGACAAAGTTTCCGCGCGTACACGAATTCAAACGGTGAAGTCATCATCTGAACGCCCATCATTAGCACACACAGATTTGCAACTGAATAGACAGGGATTGATAAAAAAATGACAGACCCATCGAAAATGTCACTCATTTGTCACATCAACGTTCGGTTGCCATAGTATGAAATTCCTATGCTAAAGATATTAGACATTTCTCGTTTATTATTAGATCACGATTTGCATTCTCCTGTCTTATTTTACATAATCTTCTCATTTAAGAGTGATTGGTGTTCTGGAAATGATCAACAAAGTCACCGGGACATTTGACAAAGAGGACGAAGATCTGCTACAGTTATACTCTACTTACTGCGGTCTGGCAATCCATGTGGCGCGGGTGAGTTTCATCCCTTCATGATACATTTCTGAGTTCGCGTAGAATGAGTGCATCGGTCATCGTAACCTAAAGAGCAACCGAAAGGCAATTAGATTACAACTGCGTGTTTTGAACGCAGAAGTCTAATGCAAGCAGAACCATTCAGCAATTCCACTTTGCGCCCAATCCTAGAGGTTTGCGTATGCGGGTCTTTGGCCGGTTTGAGTAAGCGCTTTTCCTCCGTCCATTCGCCCACTCAAAGGGTACGCCATCCAGGTATGGAATCTATGACTAAAACGTGATTTCGAAATGCTGGAGCGTTCACAAAGGATGGTCACCAAAATGATTAGGGGCTTGAATCGTTATTCATACGCAGAGATACTGAATTCTTTTGGGTTATATTCAAATCACTACCGGCGCATCAGAGAAGATATGATTACGGTATACGCCATAATGCAAAACCCAAGCCATCCGTGTCGCCCGTTTCTGAAATTATCGTACAACGTTCATTTCAGAAGACATCCATTCAAACCATTGGTCTCAAAATGCCGCTTGGAATGCTGGCTTCAGTCATTCTCAGTCAGAGTATGTTCGATCTGGAACTCTCTACTATCCTATGTTGTCTGTGCACCAAGCATTAAATCTTTCAAACTGAGACTCGATGAAACATTAGCACACATTACATTCCAACATAAGTGAAGCTGCGTGCAGCAGTGGAAGAATCCCGTATCATGTGAAATTTTACACAAGGAATTGTATGTATCACTGACGTTTAACCACAATACGCACCTATGGGACAAGAAAAGTATGAGCTTGTTAATTATTTCCATAATAAACTTTGTTCTTTGCTCTTTGAGGTTTGACTGAAGTCGCGCTCGGTCAAAATGTACCTAATTGTTTTCAGTCTCACAATGACCTCCGTGTTACTGTCATCTATTTTAATTTCCACCGTTTTGGTATATTCTCCATTGATGGTGAAAACTTTTTCTTATCCGTTGCAAAATATACCGTAGCTATCTAGCCTTACCTGAACACCTGACATAAACAATAACCTTAGGTTCGCTTGCGACTGATGCAAACGCAATGAACTAATGATTTCAGACATTTTTTGTTATCGACCCATTGGTACTCAGCTTCTCTGGTCAAACTAGTTGCTTCCAGTCAATTTGATCTTTGATGATGGTTATAAATACAAACGGAAAAAATAACGAAATACCGATTGTATGTGCCCCACCCGTTGGGTATGCGTATTCGGTAACCTCCTGTCTGGTCAATTCTATACTTAAACTCCAGCTGGGAATTATGCCATGCCAATCTCATTTACAGATACAGAATCATCGGAATGACTTTTCAAGATTTGTTCGTCTCAAATGCACTCCCAGATCTGCAATTGATATTTGCATTACATACTATATATTTACATATTGTCTCATTGGAATGAAAAAAGATCGCGGCTTTCCGGTGCTCGGTGAGAGTTTTTTCACACTGTTCCTAATGAATGACACACGTGAGAACTCTCACTGCGTATTTTTCTCTCAACTGGAATATTTTTGACGGTCCGGGTTGGAAACCGTAGGTCCAAGCGTACATAGTTTGGGAGAAACTTTAAACACAAGCACTGTGCGAAAGAAGTTTAAAACTCCCTCAAGCAGACAGACAGAGGGAGATAAAACCGATTGCAAATTGAACGGTCTGAAGCTAGAGAACTTGGCAGTGATGCGTTTGATGCGATTTGCAGGCAACAACAACTATGTATGCAACGGCGCGTATGGGGAATATTGGATTCTTGCCCAAATCAGTTTCTTGTGTTTGCGTGCGCACACGCGCGCAAATTCCACGTGTTACAATAGGAAATACTTACAGCCGCTTGTTTTTCGTACAAATGGATCGATTTTGCGGTTCATGGATAGATAAGGAATGTTAAGCGTTTTCTTTGTTTTATGCACTGCTACAATCCCTTTATACTAATCGTTGAAGTGGAGTTTGAGCTTACGGCACTTGCTCATCTGAGTTCACCTCGGAAAAGTGGTGTTCGACAGGGTTGCCCTCTCTTCCCTTTTCTATTTAACTTTGTTATAGATTTGATTATGGAAACAGCCCTATCCTCTTGCGACGATAGTGGGTTCGATTTTCTTCCAGGTGTCAGACTGTCTGATCTGAAGTATGCAGACGGAGTTTTACTTCTAAGTGAAAATTTAGGTAAGTTGCAAGTTTTTCTGGATGGCCTGAGTGCTAGTGTAGTCATGTTCAATATGCATTTTGCGCCTTCAAACTATGAAATGTTGCTTCAAAACTGGATTGGTCCAGCACCCATCTTCACCCTAACTGAAGAAGTAATAGAGAAAGTGGAGAGGCCTTGTTATTTGGTCAGGTATATCTCGCCCGGTGGACCCATCACGGATGAAGGAAAACATTATAGAACAGCCCACAAGTGAAGCGAGAACCAAACTTTGTCCTTCTAAGGCAATGAGTCCGATTCAGGGCCTTTTTAGTGCGATGAACTATTTGAACTTCTCCGGTCCACCAAAGCATTCTCAATTGCAGATACTGATAGTCTCATTCGGAATCTTCTCAAATTTGAAGCAGTTACCCCAGGCAATATGAGTCTCGATCTTTGCATTTGATTCCTGATTCTTGGCGTCAAGTTACCAACCATTATTACAATCTCAAAGACATTCGCTTCAACTGTTATTGCAAAACAGTTTCGTTCCATCGCGCTGACCTCTACAGCTCTATACGGTCGACTGAAAATGGCCTTGATAACTCTCTTGCAATCCAATACCACAATTGCCCATGACGCTCTCCAATTTACAATGTAGAAAACCCAAAGGTTTCGCACAGGAATCCGCATCCAGTCTACTCAATTTCATCCGTTCTTGAAAGATTCAGCCAAGTCCGTCCGTTTTGTTTCTGACGTTTCGCTTCATCGTCAAGTTTTGAACGAACGTGATACTGATCAGTTCAGTTCCCTTTGTACAACCATTAACCACGCGCCGGTTTTGGTTGCTGTCTTTTGGCTGCCAATTTGGATGAAGAATAGGAGAAGAAAGGGAAGTTGAAAGTGGGATTAAACAGAAAATGGAAAATTTCAGTGGTCTAAGGCTGCAACCAGGAGACTGGGTCACATAGGCCCTGTTAGGCTCCCTGGCTGGGGACCTCGGGATGATCGTACCCGATGGTTAGAGACACTGAGTTTAAACAGTGGCGTTCGTGCATCTCCTCACTTTCTTTGCAACCTTAGTCCACTGAACTTCTCCGACAGTGGCGTTCGTGCATCTTCTCAATTTCTTCCCACCCTTAGTCCACTGAACTTCTCCATTTGCATCTTCTCAATTTCTTTCCAACCTTAGTCCACTGAACTTCTCCATTTTCTGTTCGAATCGTCGATGGTTAGAGACACTGAGCGATATGGCTGGGTGTCGTAAACAGTGGCGTTCGTGCATCGTAACCGATGGTTAGAGACACTGAGTGATATGGCTGGGTGTCGTAAACAGTGGCGTTCGTGCATCTTCTCAACGTGATACTGTGTGCTTGGTGATTTCATCCTGTGTTCCCGAAAAACTTTCGGTAGATGAAGAACAGACATTCGAGGAATACGTTCACTCGATTGTGCAAAAACAAGTGGAACGTAAGCATGCCCATTTTATGAAACGCTTGAATCCTTCGCAACCGACAAGTGAGAGTTCCCAACGAATCTAGATAGAATTTGTCCACAACTCACCTGATATAAACCTAGACAAAACGTTGATAGAAGTTTAATCCTCGGGGCCAAAATTCTACTGTTTTTGGGAGAAAATTCAAGCAATTAGATATGGAGTTCGAGGTTAAAAATCTTTGTGCTCAATTAGCAGACTTGTGTTCTTCATCTCGTTTGAAAGCGGAACAGCTTAAGTCTACTCCGGTGAACAAATGTTATCAATATCAGAATGTCCAATCATCGACCAACGGATTAATAACGGAACAGCATCTACAAAAACTAAGAGAGTTACAACGGAACACAGACGAAACCGGACAAGGGGTCCGGTATCGTCTTACCGAATAAGTCAGATTACGTCGGGGAGGAAGCGTCAACTGTATGGTGAATCAAAGTTCACAAAAATGGCCCACGAAACTGACAATGCATTCCAAATAGCGAAGGCCCTTTCTACCACATTACGAAAACTTTAATATAAATGCTCTATAAACACCACCACTTTCAAACTAATTCGCCCAAGAAGGAGTACGATTCTACAAGTGTATGGGCTGTTCAAAGTACTTAAGAGTGGAGTTCCCCTCAGGCTAATCTTGGACTTGTGCAACTCTCCTTACCATGCGGTAGCCAAATGTTTGGCTCATTTTCTGGAACCGGGAAGAGTGACGTTAAATTAGTATATCCTTAAGGATACGACCGGTTTGATTGATGTCTTGAGTGGCTTAAACAGCAAACATTGCCTCGTGTTGTGTTTTTCTTGACTATTCGTCTGTGTGTGATTAGGGTTTCCTTTTTCAAACGTGAGTCTTCTGGCACAACGAGACAGCTGTTCACATGGCCTTTTGGCTATTGCACGGAAAAGGTCCAATGCACCAGATTTGGCAAGAGTACATCAAAACCTCTACTGAATACTTCCGGTGTCCTTCGAGATGCTATTCTATTTCCATATTTTTTCTCCGCTTTCATTAGTGTGATCATCCCTACCACACATCCAAAACATATGCTGACGACATCATTTTGTACGAGACTATTTTTCTTTGCTTCGGAGTTGGATTTAATGAACGAAAATCTATCCCACATTCCACGGTTTTCCTACCAAATCTGGTCTTATTCTTGACACATTCAAGTCCTTATTCAGTATTTCCCATTCTTCGTCGACAGTAATCTTCGGTGGTTCACACACATTCGCAATTGTTTGCAAAAACCGAGACGCATATATTTTAAGCTACGCAAACTGAAGTAATTGCGAACCCCACAATTAGGTTTGTCCACTTTCCTCCTCAGATGTGTTTTCCTTATTCTACCCATGTAATATTGCCCAGCCTTTTAAAACGATACTTCAAAACCATTCGCTGATGTCTGGAGATAACCACTCGTGTGTCATCGATCTCAGTCCAATGATCAATCCCAGAACTTATTAGGTGTGCCATTAAGATTCTAGACAATCCTGTCCTTCTACTGCATCTTGATCTATCCTCTTGTCTTTCCAAGCCGTCTACACGCTTCTCTTTTTGTCATCTACCCTCTAGTATTAAAATTTATAAAAATTTCTCTGTATCTTACTTAGCCCAATTTTTAAGTAATAGCAATGAGGTGATCGATGAATTAATTCACGACTTTTTTGACATGAAAAAAAACTTCAGCGACATTCTTCACTCTGCATGCCATAGGAAATTGAATTTTATTCATTGTGACCACAACTGTACATTTTTAACTGAAATGTAAACTTAAACTTGCAAGAGTTATGCAAATACGAAAACAGATTACCTGAAGCAGTTACAGTTCGAAGGAAACTACTCTTGCAGCTCCCGTCCAAACGAGATTTGAGTAGTACATTTAGACAGAGCAATCAAACGAACATATGCAGCTGTCACTCTACCTGCGATGTTTACAAGCGGGCCACAGCTCTGCACAAACTTCAAGCATAGGCTGTCCATCCTCTTCTCAGTCATGATTATATATTCCTTCGCTTGCACATGTTCGGCAAGTTATGTAGGATGAATAATGAGACAGTTCTTACAAAGGATCAGAGAACACAAACCAGCTTGGCTTAGCACGGGTTGCAAGAAAACAATAACCAATGCGATTGTGGCCCACCTCGCCAATACCGGGCACTAGGTAGACAACGAAGCATTTCAAATCATCTACATAGTGCCTTAAAAACAAGTCGGAGTGCTTTCGGCAAAGTCTCTTGGCAACGACAGAAGTAATCAGATTCTTGAACACACCAGTTTGCGACAGAAGAACATGGTTGCGGTACTCCATCTGCTTTAGTCCCGACCCAACTTACGGGACGAACCGAAACAGGACCTGAATCAATTGGTGGTAACGCAACCTTGCGTGAGTTGTACGTAATCGGACAACTGACAGAAGTGAATTTGGTCCCCTTCGATTCTCTCTGTGTTCCTAAATACCTGAAGACAGAGTTGCGAATCAGCCTTATTCACCATGTCGTTTATCTCTTGATATTATTATTATTATTGTTATTATCATCATCATTGTAATCGTCTACACATTACGATCAGGTCCTGTCGTTCAGTCGAAAGTGAAATCTACAACAAGCATAACGTTAACTCGATTATATAATCGGTGTGTGCGTGTGTGTGTGTATGTGTCAGTAGGAACGCAGAGGGGATGGGTTTTCGAGCACCCAGAATGGGGGCGATGGAAGGACGAATTCAAATCACTTTCGTTTTGTCCAGTGCGCAACAGTGAACTGAACTTGATCACATCTCACCATATTCTGAACAGCGGACGCAGCGATTCGGTCACGTTCAATGCGCTTAGCTTTGCCTGATAATGTATATATATGTGTGTGTGTAATCCAAAAAGAGGGAACAAGCAAAAGATAATATGAACTAAACAATGTTCGGAGAATCGAACGAGCTCATTCACCAATAGGGGACAATGTGTGTGTGTGTTCTTTAGATGTTTTCCCCAAATGGCAGACTCAATAATCAGTCTTAACTTTTATTAGATTTGATTGCATTCCCCGGGGTTTGATGAGATATGATCTGTCTGTCCACCAGATTATTGATCATTTTTATTTTGGAGTAGATAAAAAATGCGGAGAACTAGACTCGAATCCAATCGACCGAGAACTAAGATGTCTATGAACGAGGGGTAGAAAATTGTTGTAAACCACATTTTGTTGTCTCGTCGCTCTGACAGGATGCACGATTTTACTAATCAATTGCAGTAAAATCAATTGGAAAATATTGGAATAAATAGGAAAACTATTTTGAGATGGGCCACTCATGAAGAAGTAGGAATTTTCGGAAGATAGAGATTTTTGCGTAAGCTACACTTGACTGGATTCTCTTTTGATCTGGCTCTGTGTGAAATGTTTGTTGTTTACTCCTCACCGATTCTTACCGCAGATGTATGATCGAATTTATCGATCGGATAAGAAATATCGTGTGGCGATGGAGGTGTTAACGTTTCACAGTATTGTTTCCGAATCCGATGTGGAACAAGCGATGATATGTGAAACACCACAGCAAATTCCCGGCATTACAGCGTGAGTTCACTATCTGCTCGCTGTTCCAACTCCCGTCCCCCTTGGAATCACCTTTGCAGTTTTGTTCCACTCTTGATGCTGTTATGTTTCATATAATGTCCTTGTTGCATATTCTATTGAATTAATCTTCCGTTAATTGGTGCTTCTTTTGGTTTGCTTATCTAATCAGCTGAAATAATGGAGTGCGTAATTTTAGGTCCCCTTAGGTCTACCACCCTGCTTACAAGATATGAAACTAAGCAGGAGAAAAGACTATGGATTCGTTATCAGTGACTCATCTGTAAATTTATTCAAGTCAAGTATTTGCTTTATGCACCCAGAAAGGTGGATATTCAGCAGTCACACTGTCAACCAAAAGCTGTCGAACAAAATTATGACAGAATCGTCGTAAACAATGAAAGAATGAAACTAAATATCATCTACGTTTTTCAGGGTACTTTCTTATCATTACTATCCTAAATTATTTTATAAAAATTGGCAATAATTCCTTTGATTTTTGGGTGTTACGATTTATGGAACAAATTCGTCTTCGTCGGTCTTTCCATAGAGCAATTTAATTTAATTTAATCGTTCATGTAACGGGAAAAGGTATTCACACTACCTCCGCCAAAATCTATTTCGAGATTATCATTATTATTGCATGGTTTTATCCAGTTTCAATTTTTATACTCATTAATCATACACTTTCGACTGACCCAAACTCTCTAAAGAGTGAACCCGAGAAATGTATTTCAATATTACTGTCCCTTTATGCTAATAGCCGAAGGTGAGTCCGAAGCTCATGGCACTTTTCGCCGGAGTTTATCACGGAAAGTGCTTTTCGTCAGGGCTACTCTTTTCTATTTAACTTTCTTAATGATTTTACTGATTGTTATCGATGATATTTGACCGATACTTTTACAATAAACACCACTGGTGCAGATAGGTGCTACTATCACTTGGGAACAGTCTAACCGGAGGTCTTCCCGTGCCACCACAACATCATTCAAGTGGACTGTGATGGGGACACAGTCAACGGTGAACCAAACTTCCAGTCCCATTTAATTGGGCAATAGTACAACACTCGTGGTAGATTGGTCCATGTAATTTCCGCGCTGTATTGCTGCTCTATCAAATATTTTTTACTGGATCAGAGGTAATCCATACCATTGTGATTTGTCCTCTCTATAACATTTACCGTAGCTTTTACATACAACCCCGAGGCAGTTGGATCGATGCTTTTATGCTGGCAAATTCTTTTACCAAAAAAAACAAAATTAAATTGGTTTTGATTCGACACCCTCGACACATCACATGAGTAGCATGTAGTGGTGGAGGAACCTATGTTAATGAACGGATAGAGGTAGAACGCGGCCATTTTAAAATCACCCAAAATGTCACCTCGGCTGGTGATGAAACATTTGCCAATAACTCACCAAGTTCGATTAACACGCGAAAATACAATATTTTCCATGGTTCCAGATAAATCCATTGTTGAGGAAACGAGTCATAGGAATATTCAAGCTTTTGAAATCCAGTGTTGGACTTGAGGTAGAAGGCCAAGAATCGCTTTTAGTGAAACATATTTTATGGCCCATCCATACAAAAAAGGATTACAGATCGCTAAAATTACTATTAGCCCTCGAACTTATGTTCTGTTATTTTCTATGACATGAATGCTTATTTCGTACCAAGTTTACAGTCTCACAGTCGGTCTCGTTTGATGCTCCTCGTTAAGTTTAACACCGTACTCAAATTCACGTCCACTAAGGCGTGTGAGAAGCCGCGAACGCTTTTGGGGCGTCCCAAAACCACGCCAAACCGTTAACCGGATACAAAGTTCACAAACCAATCGCGAACTGTAAATCGTTTCTTAGAATGACGTTCAGATAGAATATTCAGAGCGGAATTCCTGTGGGAAACTGATGACGTAAAATGAAGTCTAAAACAAACGACAGCATAACTATCAATGGAATGTTAGTTCGAAATTTTCTGAAGTAACGAGACCAGATTACCTCTTTATGCGAATAGGTGAATGAATAAACGTCATGTGAACATAAAGCACATTTGATGAGAGCTTTACTCGGATCTATGTACTTTATATCTCGCAAGAGGGGATGGGTGGTTTTCTAGATAATATTAAATGGTTACCTTAGTCTGGTGAAAACATCATTGAGCGATGGACCGGTAGGACCGTTTTTTGGCCGTTTTGGACATATCAAATACACACGGCTGTGATAATTACCCGGATTACAGTATGTTCACCCTCTCGGGTCACTTGTTTTTCACGGAATTGGTTGTCCTTCGGTCGATATATAGACTATCGAGTGAATGAACTCATCGAAAATTGTGAAATAGTCGAGAGAAGCATACTATTCAATTAGCAGGCGTGGTCAGACCGGTACATCGGTCGTACCTGTACCTGTACCCTAACTCGATCAAAGCCTTAAGAAAATGCACGAGTCAAGTCCAGAGTCCATACGAATATTGACTCGACCCGTGTAACTCATATCTGGCGCATTAAAGGCCTATTTTCGAGCCAACAACAAACTACCCACAGAAGTTCCTGGAGATCCAGTTGAGAGGCGAAGATGCTTACGATTACTGAATTCAATAACTTAGCAGAGACATTACATTTTTGTCTAGTCAGTAAGAAAAAATAATTTGAATAGTTTTCCTTTTAATCGCATCATTTTTCGACCGTTTGCATTAGACGTTTTTATTCACGACAATTCCCGTTTGGGTGACCATCGGCATAGTTGTACCCGTTCGTTTATATATGTGTTCTTCTACACGGATTATTTTCGTCCCCTGTTCTTACTCTGTTCGACTCGGTTCGCCGTTGAAATGGTGCGAGGGGTGGGAGGGGAGGTGGTTGTCCTTTTGTCCCGATTGCGGTTTCCGTCCGTTCTCATGTCACGGCGTGACCATTTTTTGTTGCGTCATTTGATCCTTGAGTTATTGTGTACACGTGATCCAGTTCGATGTGCCTGTTTATTGAGTCGATTGAAGAGTGCCAGGACTCGAGAAATTCTCTGGCGTGTTTTGACCGGGCTTGGTCGATAATTCTTACTGATTCGAAGTCAAATTTATGTCCATCTTGATCTTCGTGGAGGGAGATCAACGATAGTGGGTTATGTCTCCTGATTGCCAATTAGTGCTCCTTGTTGACAGCTTTCTCTCAGTTTTGAGCAGTTCTTGCAGTTTATTTTGTAGATGACGCTGCTCTTGTCCTTCTCCATTGCTCTCCCCTAGGGTTTTGGCACATTTTCACCCAATGACACGTGACAACGGTTTTTATTTACCATTTTTTCCCCGTTGAGCTCATATGAATGATCTGACAGTGACAGATATCGAACTTTATGGCGAGTGGTGTATTGCAGAAATCCTTCCGAACCGTTCCCGATAGCTGTAACTCTCCCATCTGCATCCTTTTATTCCGCGAATTCCGCAGCTCAGACTGGGGAAGTTCCTATGATTTCATCATACTGATTAATTCGCAATTGAGTTCAATGCACAGTCCGTGTTTGTTGTCTTCAAATCTCACAGTGCTGCAAGCGTGCTGTAGATAAACCCAGTTCATCTTGAATGTTGCCTGAATGTTTTACATTACCCCTCCCCTGTGGTATTTCGCTAGATGTATAATGCTCGCCAATAATTAAAACGATATAAACATGAACAACGAGAAAATTTGGTGTGAATTTAATTGACAACATTTGAGGTACTGTCTTCGTCCAAAGAGAGATTCTGAAGAAATTTTTGTTCATTCACTCGCATTGTTTTAATCCGATTAGAATTCGTTAGAATCTGTTAAGAAACGAATCGAAATTTCATCTTCCGAGAATTCAGATCAAATAAACCATGATTACCTGCATATCACGTGACACAATTAACTGTCTGACCAAAAGTTGCAATACCCGGATGAGACCGGGGTTGTGGTGATGGTTCAAAGTCCGTTACATGTCCCATCTTTGTCTGATAAAATAATGCGGCACATCAGACAGGGTGTGTGTGTGTATGTGCGTGTATGTATGTGAACACGAGACCCGCCTGTAAGATTCGAAAGAATGCGCACCTTGTTCGCTCGTTTGATTTTCAGACAACGTTACGTGAATGTTTCGTCTCGTCGTTTCACTCCCTCTTTATACATACACGCGTCTGACTTCGCATTCTTTTGAATGGGTTCCTCCAACTCAAGCTGAGTCAGATGCAGTGCGTTTAATTAGGTCATGTGCCATGATCGCGCACAATTGTGCTCATCGAAGCTGAGTCACTACTCTCCAGTGTGTGTGTGTGTGTATGCACCCGTAGCTCGGGTTATCCGAACCATATGCTCAGCTCTCATTTTCCATCTGGTAAACACACACATACACACACACACACACCACATACAATTCTGAGCGAGATATGGGATCCAATAAGCGTGTCTTTATCGGGCAGTGTGGAACAATGAAAACACGTGTGACTCGTCTGCGTACGCGTGTGTGTATGTTTGATCAGGGTCGCATATAATTGAAATCAGATATTCAAAATCCGTTAACTCGTCATCCTCCTCGGGTTGACAGCAGATGATTGAGTGATGATTTTTTGTGACCTTTCTGGGCATTCGGGTTAGTTGTGATAAAAAACAACTAAGGTCATATGATAATGCCTCTGCGAACGGTGTCTGCATGCCACTCCGCAACCTGTTAAATTATCGATTAAATTTCACTCACAATTCAAATAATTGCATGGTTTCAGAAAACAGCTTTTCTGACCCCAAATTACTGTGACAAATGGGCACAAATACTATGATGTTAATTCCATCGATTCTGTTCGTTCGTTCAAACCGAATTTGTTTGGATATCTCAGTTTAGTTCAGCTTGTGCAACCGCTAGCCATACAGTTCCATCCACCGGCTTTAATTGATGTTTTTTGGTTGCCCATTGGGATAAAAGAGCAGAGAGGAGTGGAGTATTGCGAGCAGAGTCAATGAAGGTAGAAAATTAACATGGTCTAAAGTTGCAAATATCATGAGTAGA